ATTTGATATTTTACGTATGCGTTTACTTTGATGATGTATTTCAGTCATAACTCAGGCTATTAAATGAAGGTGGCGAAACAACTCAAAGTGCAATTGATGGTATGCATGTATATCAAGGAATGAAACAATCACCAATCATGCAATGAATTTGATTAAATGTGATGCTTGGCTCCAAGTGGTACAAGATTTCTGATGAGGCGTTAAACATATAATCACTCACACACTTCATTGATGTTATATATTCTTGGTCATGTGGACATCTATCTTAATAGAGATTTAGATTCCGTTACACCTCATTTGGAAACAGCAGTTTGCGCGATAACGATGAAAGATATTTATTTCTCATCATTGCCAAAGATGAGTGCACATGATGGCGCGTAACAGAATAAAACAAACGACACTGACGGAATTGAAATACTGAAAAGATGTTAAAATAATAAATAGTTAGGCACATTCAGTGTGATGTTGTTTTCTCAAACAGTTCACAGCATAAAACACTGTAAGCAATAAATTAAAGTGAACATTTAACATAGCCAAATTTGATATTTCTATCTGTATTGATGAAAGGTAATGATGGTGTTTGATTCATGTCTTCAACTGCAGGACTACTGGTTAACTGTCCTCTACAAGAGACTGGTGGGAGGACCCGTACTTTCTGTGGAGGCAAGCGTGGACAACAGCACCATCAGAGCCTACGCCCACTGCACAAAGCCATCCAAGTAAATTCAACCCCCAAAATGCTGCCAGATATTGTAATGCATTAGCCTGTTTACACGTTGATCTATAGATAAAAATCTCTTTTGAAAGACATGGAAGCAAGATGAGGTTAGATACAATGAAATGTGGTTCGGTATCAAGATTATTGATAGGGGTGGATGAAAGGGTGTGCGGAGGTATTTGTGCTGGCTGCTGTTACTGGGCTGAACAAGCGCCGGTAACCTCTACCTCTATTCAAGATAATGCAATAAGAAATAAAACGGGCAACTGAAGGTATATGCCATACTAGATAGGATGGAGGCTAGCAGCACATTTGCTACCTATATGGATCCCAGCTGGATTTACACCATCCCTTCAGTCCTTTGCCATAGTTAGCAAATTGAGCCAAATTTTAGATGACAAATATTCTACGTTTAAAATAGTGTTAGATATAATATTCTTTGGATGATGTGGACCTATAATACCCTTCCAGCGCAGTGAGAGACCATGTCGCAAAATATTCTGTATTTCATATACATCTCACACTCCAAGGCAAACAGTAGTTGTCTTATCCCCTTAATACCGAGCACCAGGCGGCAAAACAAAAAGTACCATCTTTACATGTTTCCTTATATGACCCGCCCGAACCATTATGCCAAGCGTTTGTCTACATTTTCCTTCATTTGTAAAGAATGTGTCAACATAGGTCTTCTTCCGTGCGTCATTAAGAATGAAACATACGCAATATAGAACATAGGAGTAAGACATAATAAGTTCAGATTCATGTTCATGCCAAGGGAAGCTGTCCTCTAATATTAAGTGTTGTGTTTTAGTTCCTATGGCTACGTGCCCGGCAGTGTGACGATGTACTTCCTGCTGCCCACGGATAACAATACCTCCATTACGTTTCCGCAATTTCCCAACCAATTTGTAGATGTGTTCTGGTTGACGCCAGTCGATGGACTCACTAGCAAGTAAGTCCCTCCACCAGCATAGCTGTCTTCTGACTCACACCATTCAATAGACTCACTGGCAAATAGTTCCTCCAGCAACTTCCAAAAGCTTCCCGATTAACACCAATAGGTGGACTAATTTCCACAACGAGAGTTTAGATTGATTATATAAGTGATACATTTAACTAAGTAGTTTCTTCTGAAAACTACAGAAAATCACTTGAAAAGTGATGAATGACCTGCCACGACAACACTTATCATTTCTACATGCAAATATGATTCAGGAAAAATACAATATACAATTATCATGCAAAGTTCATAATCAGTCTTCACCATTTCAGGACCGTGGCCTTGAACAACGACCCGATAAAGCTTGTCAATAATACGCTGCCGGAGCTGAAACCTTACAGGACGGAAAGAAACACTGTTACCTTCCCCGGGAAGTCATTCGGGTTCCTCGTCTTCCCTGAGGCTGATGTGGCTGCCTGCAGTAGCCAGTGATGCTGTTCACAGAATGATTCAGAAGAATCTGTACAATCTGCACTTGCTATGGAAATAAATCTGAACGTTTATTCTTGATTCAGTTATTAGTTATTTTAATGGAGTTCAATTATAATAATAGGTGTTTACCTTTCAAATACATGCGTGTACGCCTTTCAACAAGATTTCAAAGGAACTCATACCAGTGTCGATCAGACGTATTCTTCTTCTTCGTATTTTTTAACCAGGCAACTGTATCTTCGTCCATATGTCCTGAATATCTTACATAAATATTAATATCTGCATTACACTAAGAGTAAGGCCTGAAGACATTACCGGAACTTTACCCTAAGCTATCTGAAGATCCACTAATCCACATCTACACTACCGGTTATACACGAAGTATGTGTCGTTACATATATATGTCATTGTGTAACATTGCTGGTGGAAGTATGTGTCGTTACATATGTCATTGTGTAACATTGCTGGTGGAGGTATGTGTCGTTACATATGTCACTGTGTAACATTGCTCGTGGAAGTATGTGTCGTTACATATATCATTGTGTAACATTGCTTGTGGAAGTATTTGTCGTTACATATGTCATTGTGTAACATTGCTTGTGGAAGTATGTGTCGTTACATATGTCATTGTGTAACATTGCTTGTGGAAGTATGTGTCGTTACATAAGTCATTGTGTAACATTGCTTGTGGAAGTATGCAGAAGGTTCATAGTCTATGACTTGTAATGAATGGGGTACAAGTGCCTACTAATGCACTTATACAGGCTATTCCAAGCAGCTGCATTAACAAAAATAATGCTAATTCGTTCGGACATCAATTTCTACAATATGCGTGTTGTGATGGACACATATTGTTTCAATAACGGCACTGCACGATATTTATCAATGACGAAAACCGATGTATGCATTTATAACGGCACAATACGTTACATATCACAGAAGACACATAAAAAACAACAGTCTATGATAATATATTATCAGTCATGACACAACACAATATGTTTCAATAATGAAACAAAACAATAGGTATGGAAGATACAACACGTTTACGTTTCAGTAATGAAACAACACAATATGAACCTATGACGATACAAAACAGCATGTCTTAATGGTGAGTGAGCCTTGGCGTGACGAGCGAACGCTTTAACCACTATGCTAATCTCATGTATTAATGACGAAAACAATATATCTTTTAAAGAGGATTCATAATGAAGATTTGCTTTTTACGACACAACATTACACACGTCAGTGCTGGAGATATATGAAGGAAACATAGACGACACACCACAGTCTATATACATGAAAGACCACCTTAGATAAATGTAGATTACCTGTGACATACATTCCGATAGGAAACTTCTGAGACAATGAAGGTAACGCTGTCAGCTCTCCTACTGGTCACCACCTTCATATCCCACACAGCGGGAGTAGTCAATGTTAATATCACAGTTTTAACAATACAAGCAGTTTCAAATATTGATGACTTGTTTGTTGGCGTAACACTGGACTCCAGTCTACTGCCCACCCCACAGCACTGGAAAGGACTGGACTTCAAGTAAGTAGATCAAGGTGATCTTCAAGAAGGCCAATCTCTGCGAGGGGGGTTAAAGTACTGTAATTTATTGTCCTCCTGAGAGGGTACGTAAGTCCCAAAATTTTCAAAGTCATTTTAAACTTACCAGGATTTTTAAACGTAGTATTCTTGTTATTTTAATTTTGGCTAATATTTCTTACAGTCGCCAGCAGCTGAAGGGATGGTGTAAATCCAACTAGGGTCCATGCAGGTAGCAAAGGTACTGTAAGTCCCCATGGTCCCTAGTATGGTGATCTACCTTCCGTTGTTGGCGATCTATAGCCTGTTTTATATTGTATTGTCATCTATAGTTACCCTGTTTTAGATTTAGTTATTAGTTTTAAATTCGAATTTGTGATAATCTAGATATTTTACTGTCCTTCGTTGACAGGTTTTTACAATTTACCATTAATTACTATGGATAAAATTAAATGTTCTCGTCACGATATGGCTGAAATATTGCCGATGTGACGATAAATTTTAACTCACTCACTCACTCAAGGAGGCCAACAGACATCAAGTTACTGAAGATTAATTTCATTTGCAGTTGATAATTTGTATCCACACACACACACACACACTCTCTCACACACACACTCTCTCTCTCACACACACTCACAAACACTCATACACTCTCTCACACATACTCACTCACACACACTCACACACATGCAGTAAACTACGTTCATAAAGAATTAACGAACTGTTTGTTGTTCTATCTGTCCCGACCGCTTGCCGAATATTTTAGACGACATGCTTTGAACAAACTGCAGATACAACGAACTAAAATTTGTGATCTCTCTGAGAAAAAAACACATGGTTTATTGTATTTGGGGCACGTTATATTTTACATCTTCTTTTTGAAAATCATTGACAAACATAGACCGAAGATCCTAATAAAACCAACCACTTCAAACTAACAAGTTCATGTTAGCAGATTACTGTGTGAACATTGTACCCAAACCGTTGAACACAGAAACGTTATGTATGTCAATGCATTATGCCATTTCTGTTTTGGTGTGTTGTCAGTTATTATGGGCCCGTGATAATTAAATTCTTTGTTTCTGCTTAAACATTGTGTCCAAATCGTTAAGCAAAGAAACGTATAGGCATGTCAATGCATTATGCCATTTCGGTTTTGGTGTGTTGTCAATTAGTTTATTGTAGGTGTGTGATATTTGAACTCTTTGTTTCTGCTTTGACGCAAATATGCATGCTATATATGCAAATAACTTACTGTAAAAATTGCCCTGTGTCACGTTGTTGTATACCTCCAGCTCTCAGAAAGTTCAGACCCTGGCTAAAGGTTTGTCTCCATGCTATCTGAGGATTGGAGGAACTGAGGGTGATAGTCTGACCTTTGACCCTACAGGTCATGGCACAGTAGACATCAACCGTGCATTTACAGGTGCGTAAATCTATTTATAATATCTGTAGCTTGTTAGTTGTGGAACTATGGTTTTGTACATATGGATATCTAGGAGGCCAATACAGCTGGGTATTTTCTGATCTCACTATGTTGTGTCTGCAGGAGCTACCTGGGATGCTGTTAATACATTTGTCCAGGATGTCGACTGGAAGTTAATATTTGGTCTGAACGCCCTGAAGAGGAAGGATGGTCACTGGGATCCTACCAACGCCAAAGAACTGCTGCAATACACCAGTGCCAAGGGGTACCAACTGGCAGGCCTTGAACTCGGAAATGGTATTAATATAAACATGTGCATGAATATATATGACTTAACATTACCATGGTATTTCTATAGAATGACTCCAACTCAACATACCGAATCAAAAACAATGTGCAAAACTGTGCAAATCTCATAACTTTAATTATTTAGTTGTTTTTGTAATTTTAGAATTTTAGTCCATAATTTTCTACTTCTAGTGAGAAAAAGGTTACTATTCCTACATTTTATTTCTGTAATGTCTGGCTCCATGGTAATTGTTACAGAACCTGACATATTCCCTGGGCAATATAACATCACTGTGAGTGGCAGTCAGTTGGGTATGGACTTCTACAACTTCAAGAAGCTGCTTCAGTCGACACCCGGGTATGAGATAACACCAGTAATTGGACCTGACGTGGCCACTGTAACTAGATCTGAAACATTCTTTGCTGAGTGAGTATATCGATCTGACAAAGGTGCCAGAGCCGTGGTCATACAGTTTATATGAGCCCAACCACATTATAACGATAAGAGTGAACCACAATATCTATATACAAAATTGTAACCAGTCAACTTATGATTTGTATAATTGTCCTTGCATCTACAAAAAGTACCCAGAACCCGGGGTGAGCCATATGAATATGTATGTAGCATTGAATCTTTCCTATTCAAAACAGGGTCTCACTTCCCCATAAGACATCATGATGAACGCTTTTGCCACTATTTGTGAAAATGATATACCAACGCTAACGAGGATAACACAAAGGTTCATTGACCGTAATAATCTGAAATAAAACCTACAAATAGAAACAATGAAACCCTTTCTAGATTCACAGCATACCTCTCTCGTGAGGAAAGTTGATTGCACGATTCCATCTATGTCATGATAGTTGTTTTGTCATCATCACTCTTTGAAATCATGGCAAAACAGCATGCTCGATTCTGCCTCAAAAGTTCCCAAATGTAAACAAAAACAATGTCCGGACCTGCTGGAAATGAGTGTGGGAAAGTTGAAGACATCCCTCTTGTCACACAGCCTTTAGGAGAGTTGATTATACTCTGAATTTGTATGCAAAGACCTAAGTATGAAACAAATCAGGCGTTCTTACCCCTCTCTTGTATGACTATTTCCGGCATGTCAACCACTCAAACGTATTTGGTCACTTTTTGGCCAAATCATATTACCTTGTTTTGATTTTACCAACCCTAGCAGAAATTCCGATTCACATGTATTGGAAGAAACTAATGTGGAAGAAGGGGAGCACACTTGGTTATCATGGGGATGCATATTTATTTTCTAACTATTTTTCCAAAAAGTATTTCATAGATGTTATCAGTGCGTTAGGCCAGCATTTTCTCAGTGCACAGAAAACGTCAGTGCAAAGGAATATCCCATCTTGGCTATCCTTAGAAACATAATCCCTCAGGTAAAAAGTGCGAAATAACAGTGACAACTTTATGAATGAACCACTGAAACTTAGTGATGACATCAAGTGTTCTCGAAAACTATTCACACAAATTGCTTGAAAATGTAAGTATTTACAAGTTATCATGTTCTGACTGACATGTTTCTGTTGTTGTAATGCAGCTGTGTAATCTATTAAACGATGTTGTAGGAATATTAAACTGCTTCTGTTAGGACTCAGTAGACGTTCATATGTTGGAACACGAATTACTAATGAGGAATGTATTTTACCATCCAATGTAATCAGCGCTGTGGGGTTACTATGTATTAATGCTTTTGGAATCAATTGTAATCTAAAATCTTCTTAAACATCTACAGTCTAATCCAGAAAGATGCGACACTTTTTTATTGTATCAAGAATTTTCTATTTCCATCCTCCATATCCAGCCTTGGCATGTGATGGAATCTTGACCACAGTTTACAGTGCCACAACTGAGGCACTACAATACATGCCTATCATTTATGACCATAATGCTCTATAATCGACACATGAACATTTTACAGTTAATCCCGCAGACTTCCATGATCATTCTTCTTTATTTCCTCAGTTTCTTCACAGGAGGAGGAGACAGGGCCGTTGACAGAATAACCTTTCACCAGTACGTGCAATTGATTTTGATATTCATTAATTGTTCTACACTGCTTAAATACTTGTTCATGTATGGTTGGATATTCAAATCCGATTTCTTACATTCTCTGATGCACTTCCATCAATACGTCCTTGGCATACTGAAAGATCAGTCAGTTCATGTATAATACCAGAGTCCACATTTATTGCATGAAAATGACTTGAGAATGACCTTCTGAAATATAGCCTGTATTCCTCAGTCGTTGAAGGTCATCATTGCAGGCGTGGCTGTTGGTGTTACACGTCTTGGCTTACTGAACTCAACTCTGTAACTGATTTTGTATGCTATGCAGTTGGAATAAGCAAGCGTATGAAAAACTTACCATCAAACCTACCAACAAAATAAGTTCTGGCGGTGACATATCATGTCATTTCCATACATTATCAGTGTGTTCATATCCTGCAATGTGTGCCTTTAGGCTTGTGAAGGATATAATAGTTTATAATTTACACTGAATATGTATAACACTAAATCTGTTTTTAATTGTTACTTCGATAAAGTGGCCTAAATCGCGTTAAAGATATCGGTCCACATCGAACACGATTCTCTTGTTTGGTCAGTGTGGGACCAGGAGAATTCATCTAGAAACACGTGATTTTTTATAATTGTCATTCCCCTCTTACCTTTATTGAATTTAACTGGGGACGACTGGGAGATTTCATAACTCCTATTTACTTTGTAGAATGTGACCAGAAACATGAAAATATAATTCATAACGAGTTTCATGCGATTTTATGTTATTTGGACAAGACAAAAAATTTTGGTCATCTCTAAAACCTCTGATGAAGAATCCACCGCCATGTGGCCTTCACGCCAAATGGTATCTGTTTGAAAATCAAACCCAGATATTCTCCAGTATTAACGTTTTCATATTTAGCTATGCGCAAATCACGATCAAAGGTTTAGTCCTGACTGGCTTTGATACACAGAACAGATAGTAACACAAGTGAAAGCAAGATATCTATGTATCTCGATGAACCACCATGTAGTGATTGTGCAAGATTGCTGATGCTGCGTTAAGCAAGAATCACTCACTAACCTCGCCTTATATATTCCTGGTCATATACACTGTCATACTTTCATACTGCCTATCACACGTAGTTTCACCACAGGTAATAGTGAAGTACAGTAGAGTGAGTGAGTTAAAATTTAAAGTCACTTTGGCAATATTTCAGCCATATCGTGACGTGAGCAATTAATTCGTCGTATTAGAGAACAATAAAAAGTAGAAATTAAAAGCTTGTTGACGAAGAACAGTAAAACTACCAGTGTATCACATATCTTAAAAGTAAATCTAGCATGTTATCATAAAACGATATTTTTTAGATAACAATACAATATAAAGCCAGGCTATAGGATCACTAACAACCGAAGGTAGATCACCATAATAGGGACCATGGGGACTTAAGGTACATTGCTTCCTGCATGGACCCCTAGCTGGATTTACACCATCCCTTTAGATATTAGCAATTTTAGATAATCTAGCCACAAATAAAAGAACATATATACTACGATTAGGTACAGGGATAATGATAAACGGTAGAAGATAATCGTTTCCGCTGAGATGCAGATAGAGTCCAACAGAAAACAAAATGCTCACACGGACTGAGCTGTACTGATTGATCGGTCATTTCAAATACACATTTTACGAAAATGTATGTTAATGACAGTATATATTGAGTTTGTTTTATTCACGTCTTCATCTGCAGGACTACTGGTTAACGGTCCCCGTATAAGAGACTGGTCGGGTTCCGTGTTTTCAGTGGAGGCGAGCGTGAACAACAGCACCATCAGAGCCTACGCCCACTGCACAAAGCCATCCATGTAAATTGAATAATCTCCAGGGTTTAACCAATTGTCGATATAGAACATACTACTGAGACATATGTGTAAATATAAAGCTGTCAAGTATTCCATATTTTCCTTCATTATATGCACGTTTTAGGATTAGTTAGAATGATACTCTCAATACTAAGTATAAGAGCAAATATAATGGCAGTGTTGATTCATGTTCATGCAAAGTCGAGGTATACTCTCTAATACATAGTGTTGTGTTTTAGTTCCTATGGCTACATGCCCGTAGTGTGACGATGTACTTCCTGCTGCCATGGATAACACTACCTCTATTACGTTTCCACAATTTCCCGACCAACCTGTAGATGTGTTCTGGCTGACGCCAGTCGATGGACTCACAAGCAAGTAAGTGTCATCCCCTAGACAAGTCGTCTTCTGGTTCACATCACACTGGCCAATAGTTCCTCCTGTCAACCTACAGACGCTCTCTGGTTAACACCAATAGGTCGACAAATTATCGGTGAGTTTCCACTACGAGAGTTTAGATTGATCATATACGTGCGATACATTTAATGAAGCAGTTTCTTCTAGAAAACCACGGAAAATCAGCTGAAACATAATATGAGTGACCATTGCAACACTTACTACTTCTACATGCAAATATTATTCAGGAAACATACAATATACAATTATCATGGAAAGTTCATAATCAGTCTGCACCATCTCAGAACCGTGGCCCTGAACAACAACCCGCTAAAGCTTGTCAATAATACGCTGCCAGAGCTGGAAACCTTACAGGACGGAAGGAAACAGTGTTACCTTCCCCGGGAAGTCATTCGGGTTCCTCGTCTTCCTGAGGCTGACGTGGCTGCCTGCAGTAGCCAGTGAGGATGTTCACAGAATGATTCAGGAAAATCTGTACAATCTGCACTTGCTGTGAAAAATAAATCTGAATGTGTATTATGGATTCAGTCATCTGTTATTTTTAATGGAATTCAATTATGATTAGGTTTAACACGTTTTCAAAGAAACTCATACCAGACTCGATCAGACTGGTTTTCAACCAGGCTGCAGATTCGCGTGATTTAAAAACCAACTGCAACCTTCATCCACATGTCCTGAAATATCTTACATATATATATATTATCTGCATTGCACTAAGAGTAAGGCATGAAGGCATTACCGGAACTTCTTTACCCTGTTACCTGAAGGTAACAACACTGATCCTCATCTACACTACCGGTTGTACACGAAGTATGTGTGGTTACATATGTCATTGTGTAACATGTGTAAATATAACTAGCAACAGTCTCCGCTATTAAGACACTAACTTTTTGACTCGTTCATGCAGGAAGCTCATAGTCCTATCACATACGAAATGAATGGGATAAAGTGCCTACTAATGCACCTATACAGGCGTTTCTAAGCAACTGTATCAACAACGATTATGTATCACTGCCAATTCGTCCCGACATCAATTTCTACAATGTACTTGTCGAGACGGAAACATTATGTTTCCAAAAGTGTATGCATCGATATTTATCAATGACGACAACACAATATGTGTTCATGATGAAACGAAGCAATATGTACCACGGACGACACGTAATAACATATTAGTATATGATAACATGTTATCAGTCATGATAATATGATGAAACAACACAATATGTATGAAAGATGAAGAACGAGCCAGTATTGAAACAACACAACACGTACCCATGACAATACAAAACAGCATTGATGGTGAGTGAGCCTTCGGGCCCTGACGAGCGAACACTTTAGAGCTAACCCACCGCACAACTTGTATTAATGACGACACAATGAAATATACAATAAAGATGATACACAAGGAAAACTTGCTTTGGAGCCACAACACTGAACATACCAGTGATGGTGATATCAAATCTTTATTTCTGATACCTATGAGGCCACGGGCCTATGAGTACAAAACAACTCATCGGTGCAGACATGAAATAAAATGATAACAATGAAAGCATGTATAATATATACAATCTTAATATGACAAAATTGATTTCCTTTTTCGAATGCATAAAACAGATATTTTAGCAGTATTCAAGGAAATGTCTTCATTTTTGGATGATAACAACAAATTGAATTTTAGTATATTGGGGAAAACATAGAATTGCGACAAAAGATATTTACGTCTTAATTCAATGTAGGCTGGACAGATAAGTAAGTGATATTCATTTTTTTCATTTACGTATAAGTTACACATTTTGCATGTTCTTTGTCTCGGGGAATGTTATAGTAACGGCCTCTTTCAATTTCTAAACTATGGGAACGTAACCTAAATCGTGATAAACAAGATCTATATTTGGATACAGTAATATGAGCTAAATGTTTCACAAGAAATCGTTAATTCAAAATTACAATACGTTAACAGTTTTGGGGCTCTCAGATAAATCACTATGGCAAACTTACCGAAAATTATCTTTCAGTCGTTGAAAAAACATTTTAACAAAAACGTTTTTATCTCCGTAAGTGTGTGATACCCAAACATCCCCAAAACCTAATTTAAATATGATATTTCTAACCTTGGTAACCCAGTTCTCATAGCCTTGCTCATCATCATACATACGCATCATATTGTAACATTTTCGAGGCAAACGGCATCCAGGCATGTTAATAAGATTTAACCAATATTTAATACATTTTAAAACAGCAGATAGTTGGACAGGATATCTACCACACTCGGCTAGTACTCCGTTATTGGACGTTGATAACTTAACGTTTAGAAAACGTTTGCAGGCATATAAATGTACTTTTTCCAGTTCTTCCATTTTATTAAACCCCCAAATTTCAGCCCCATAGAGGAGAATCGAATAATTTGAAGTACAGATGAGGCGAGTGTGTGGTTTGAAACAATGTATACTACTAAGAAGTAATTTTTCTGGCTTGAATAGAAATATTGTCAAACGCTTTCGACCACTGTAACCTATTACTAAAATACAATCCGAGATAACAATATCCTGAAACAACTTCAACAACACTACCATTATAAAACCATTTTTCAAACCGAAATAGACCACCTCCTTTCTTAAAAAACAACAATTTTAGTTTTATGCATGTTGACTGACAATTTCCATTCTGAACAGTACCTATTAAGAACATTTAGTTTAAACTGCAGACTTCTCACGCTGTTCCCAAACAAA